GAATATAGGCCCAAATTGGTCAACCTATCCTCATCCCCTTCATCCCTGGCACTAACCTAGTAAATCTACGCTGCACCCCCTCCGAGACAAGTACATCCTTCCTTAAATAAGGAGACCAAAAGCTGCACACAGTATTCCAGGTGTGGTCTCACCAGGGCCCTGTACAGTTGCAGCAAGACTTCCCTCCTCTTATACTCTAATCCTTTCATAATGAATGCTAACATACCGTTCGCCTTCCTAATTGCTGCTGCACCTGCAGACTAACTTTCTGTGATTGGTGTACAAGGACACCCAAGTCCCTCTGGACGCTAACACATTCCAATCTCGCACCTTCTAACAAATAACCCGCTCTACTGTTTTTTCTCCCTAGGTGGATGACTTCGCACTTCCCTACATTATACTTCATCTGCCACCTACCTGCCCAATCACCTAACCTATCTATGTCGCGCTGCATTTTTTTAATGTCATCCTCTGTGTTGGCACTTCCTCCTAGTTTTGTGTCATCTGCGAATTTAGATATATTGACTTCGATGTCCTCATCTTGATCGTTGATGTAGATGGTAAATAGCTGAGGCCCAAGGACTGATCCTTGTGGCACTCCACTAGTTACATCCCGCCAATCCGAAAAGGACCCGTTTATCCCTAGTCTTTGTTTCCTACCCGTTAACCATTTCCCAATCCACATTAATATGCTCCCAATTCCATGGGCCCCTATCTTTTGGACTCACCTTTTATGCGGCACCTTAACAAATGCCTTCTGGAAGTCCAAATAGACCACATCCACTGATTCACCCTTATCTAGTTTACTCAAAAAATTCTATGAGATTTGTCAAACATGACTTCCCTTTTGTAAAGCCATGTTGACTTGGCCTAATTATATTGTGCTCCCCTAAATATCGCACTACCACATCCTTAATCAATGATTCTAAATTTTTTCCTATCACTGATGTGAGACTAACTGGCCTATAGTTCCTCATCTTTTCCTTTCCACCTTTTTTAAATAGTGATGTGACATTTGCGATCTTCCAATCCATGGGGACTATTCCAGAATGCAAGGAATTTTGGAAGATCAGACACAAGACCTCCACTATCTCATAAGCTCCTCTTTTAAAACCCTGGGATGCAAGCCATCCGGACCAGGGGATTTGTCACTTTTTAGTGCTAACAGTTTCCCGAGCACCAATTCTCTACTAATGAAAATTTCCCTAAATTGCTCCCTGTCCTTACCCCTTTGGTGCATCTCTATGGTTGGCAGACTTGTTGTGTCCTCTAGGGTAAAGACAGATGCAAAGTACCCATTTAAGGTCCTTATCCTCCAATAATAATCACTCCAAAAAAACAAAGCAATAATAAATTGGTCATTTTCAATCCATGACTGTTTGCTGTGGCTGCCGCGTTCGCCCACAAATATACAGCCAATTCACTTCACAGTATATTCTGTGAAGCGCTTTGGGACATCTAGAAGATGTGAAAAGCGCCATATCAAATGCAAGGATTATTATTATTACAACTTCTCCTGTCTCTTTGGATGTCCCAAAGCGCTTCACAGAACACACTGCAAAGTGAATTGAATGTATATTTGTGGGTGAACGCAGCAGCCAATTGCGCACAGCAATGTCCCACAAACAGTCATGGATTGAAAATGACCAATTTATTATTGTTTTGTTTTTTGGAGGGATTATTATTAGGTGTGTGGAGTAAGGAAACTTGCCCAAGGTTTCGCCCGGCCTGGAATTGAACTCAGGTCTCTCGCTTGCAAAGCGAGTCCTCTAACCACTGAGCTACAGGACTCTGACTGAAGAGGACCTACACTTACCCTCACTAGCCTATTTCTCTTAATGTATTTGTAAAAACTTTTACAATCTGACTTAATGTTCCTAGCGAGCTTACCCTCAAACTCCTTTTTCTCGCTCTTATTGAGTTTTTTAGTTTTATTTGGTGGTTTCTAAAACTCTCCCAATCTTCAGTTTTACCGCTTTTCTTGGCAGTTTTATAAGCCTTTTCTTTTAATTTGATGCTTTCCCTAACTGCTCTAGTTAGCCCCGGATGACTTGCTTTCCCTGTGGTACTCTTATTCCGCAAGGGAATATGTGAGCGCTGAGAATTATGCACTACATCCTTAAATATTTGCCACTGTCTACATTTTTACCTCTTAATCTTATTCTCCAGTCTATTTTACCTAAATCTTTCCTCATACCTATAAAATTAGTCTTATTCAGAATACTGACCTCAGATTTAACTATATCCCTCTCTAACTTAATGCAGAATTCAATCATATTGTGATCACTCTGCCCTACAGGATTCTTAATACCTACACTGCCGACTAGCCCTGTTCCGTTACACAAAACAAGGTCTAGGATGGCCTGTCCCCTAGTTGGTTCCTCGGCTGCTCAAGAAAGTTCTCTCTCATACACTCAATGAACTCTTCTTCTGACCTACTTTTGCTGATTTGGTTTTCCCAATCTATGTGGAGATTGAAATCACCCACTATTATCGCTTTACCTTTCCTACAGGCTCCACTGATTTCCTGATTAATACCTTGTGCTATATTGTGATCACTGTTTTGGGGTCTATAAACCACTCCCATTAATATTTTCTGCCCCTTAATATTTTTTATTTCCACCCATATTGTCTCGACCTCCTGGTCATCGGATTTCAGATCCTTCCTCTCCACTGCTTTTATTTCATCCCTAATTAACAGGGCTACCCCCCACACCTCCCCCCCCCCCCCCACCTCGTTTCCCACAGTGCCTATCTTTCCTGTAAACTAAGAACCCTGGAATATTTAACTCCCACCCTAGATCTCCTTGTAACCATGTTTCAGTGATGGCTATTAGATCGTACCCATATGTGTCTATCTGTGCTTTTAATTCATCAGTTTTATTCTGAATGCTTCGCGCATTCAGATGTAACATTTTTAATTTCCTCTACTCTGATTCCTTAACCCTAACCCTAATTACCCCTGGAAAAGTGATCCATCAATTGACTAACAACTTACTGCTAGGTAAACAGAGGTGTGTTGTAAAGAAATTTGCCCAACGTTTTGCCTTGCCTGGGAATCAAACCTCTCGTTTGTGAGGTGTGAGCTCTAACCACTAAGCTACGGGACTCCACGGCGACGTTGGGCCTGAGTTTGGGGAGTGGACTGAAGAGTGAGAGAGCAGCAACATTGATCTGAAAGTCAGGGTCTCTGAAGCTGAATGTTTGTTGAATGTTCTTCACTTGCAGTTCAGGTGTCAAGTGGTTCTCGAGGACAGAGAGCAAGACGATAACTTCAGGAATCTCTCCCCCCTCCCCCCCACCGGCCCCTATTGTGGAACTGAATTCTCACTGTGCCCGTCGATCCCCCACCAACCCTCCTACTCCCGTCCTGGCAGAATGGCTGACCTACCACCAAAAAAGATGGGCCAACAGCAGGACAACTGGGCACTGTGTGGGCCCCACCTGATCTGAACCTGCCCTACACAACAGCAGAGGTGAGCGTGGCTGCTCTCTCCACTCTGGGCAACGCCCTGGTTTGTGCCAGTGTGCTGGGCACAGGCAGCTCTGCACCGTCACCAATTACTTCCTGGTTTCCTTGGTGGTGGCGGACATCGGTGTGGGGGCTGTGGCCATCCCGTGCGGTGCTGACCAGCCTGGGAGTTCCCCGATACCGCCTGCACCTCTGCCACCTCATGCTCTCCGTCCTCATTGTGTTGACCCAGAGCTCCATCTTCAGCATGGCTGCTGTGGCAGCCGACCGCTATGTGGCCATCTTCCTCCCGCTGAGTTACAACGCCCTGATGACCCCCAGGAATGCCGGGCTGACCATCCTGGCTGCCTGGGCCTTGTCCTTCCTCATCGGGCTGGTGCCCCTCATGGGCTGGCACCTGCCGCCCCCTCCTCATGGCTACTGCTTCTTCATTTCAGTGGTGGACATGAGATACATGGTCATCTTCAATTTCTTCCTGTGTGTCCTGGCCCCGCTGGTGGGGGTCTTCGCCGTCTATGCCAAGATCTTCACGGAGGTACGTCGACAGGTGCGGAGGGCAGTGGGTCAGGGCGGGTGTGAAGTGGGAAAAGAAACCAAGACAACTGCCTCGCTTTTCCTGGTCCTCTTCCTCTTCGCTCTGTGCTGGCTCCCGCTGCACCTGTTCAACTGTGTTCTCCTGCTGTGTCCGGCCTGCCCCGTTCCTGGCCCTGCCCTCCAGACTGCCATCATCCTGTCCCACGCCAACTCCGCCATCAACCCCATCCTCTACGCCTACAAGATGAAGTCCTTCCGCCGTGCCTTCAAGGCCCTCTTCCTGTGCAGAGGCCAAGTCGCTCCTCGGGAGACATAGGCCACCCCGGCCCCACATGCAAAAACAGTTAACAATGTAGTAATAGCAGCAATAATACTGGTAATTAATGACGTTGATAATAATAATCCTTGCATTTATATAGCACATTATCATGTCTTCGTGGCGTCTCTAATAATAATAATCCTTGCATTTGATATAATAATAATAATAATAATAATCCTTGCATTTGATATAGCGCTTTTCACGTCGGGAGGACGTCCCAAAGCGCTTCACAGAATATACTGTAAAGTGAATTGACTGTATATTTGTGGGCGAACGCGGCAGCCAATTGCGCACAGCAATGTCCCACAAACAGTCGTAGATTGAAAATGATCAATTTATTATTGTTTTTGGTTTTGGAGGGATTATTATTAGGTGTGTGGAGTAAGGAAACTTGCCCAAGGTTTCGGCCTGCTTGGAATTGAACTCAGGTCTCTCGCTTGCAAAGCGAGTGCTCTAACCATGAGCTACAGGACTCAAAGCGCTTTGAGCTCAAAACAACAACAAATTACACTTGTATAGCCCTCTTCATGGCAGAAAGAAGTCCCAGGGCACTGGGTTCCTACACACTGCTCTGTAAACAGAGGCGTCTAGAGTAAGGAAACTAACCCAACGTTTTGCTCTGCCCGGGAATCAAACCCAAGTGTAGTGCCTGTGTATTTGATTCTAGCTACGTACCCTTCGACCTTCACCCCAGGAAGCTGTTGCTTCAGTTCATCCCTGTCCTCGCCAGCCAGTGTCTGGAAGCCCATGAGCTGGGTAGCGCTGTAGACGGGCAGGAAGCCCAGCTCGGCCCGTTTGGCCACAAAGCAGTCTGTGTGGTACCAGCGATCAATCATGCCCAGCTGCGGCTTCTCTACATCAATCATCTTCTTGGAAATCCGCACTGTGTCCTGTGGGGGGAGCAGGAGCCACGTGGAAAGTTTATAAAATAATAATAATAATCTTTGCATTTGATATAGGCCCTTATCACATCTTCTAGACGTCTCAAAAAATATATTGTAAAGTGAATTGAAACACATGAAACCGACAACCTGCTCCCTCGACCCCATCCCTACCCCTCTCCTTACCTCCCAGCTCCACCTCCGTGCTCCTCTACTCACTGATATCATAAACCTCTCCCTGTCCTCTGGTACTGTTCCCACCCCATTAAAAACGGCCGTCATCACTCCTTTCCTTAAAAAACTCTCCCTGGACCCTTCTCAAATCCCAAACTAATATCCTATCTCCAACCTCCCTTTTCTCTCCAAGGTCCTGGAATGAGTTGTTGCTTCCCAGCTCCGCTCCTTCCTCTCCCGCCACTTCCTTCTCGAAACCCTCCAATTGGGTTTCTGTGCCGCCCACAGCACAGAAACAGTCCTGGTCAAAGTGACAAATGACACTCTGTCCACCTGCGACCAGGGCTCCCTCTGCCTCCACGTCCTCATTGACCTCTCTGCTGCCTTCGACACCGTCAACCATTCTGTCCTCATCCACCCTTTCCTCTCACCTCAACTTTCACGGTTCTGTCCTTGACTGGTTCAGATCGTACCTCTCACACCGCCTCCACTTCATCTCCACAAACAGCTTCTCCTCTAGCCCTGCACTGTCCCCTCCTCTTCAACATCTATATGCTCCCACTTGGTGACATCATCCACACAAATGGGGTCAACTTCCGCATGTACGATGATAACACTCAACTCTACCTTTCTGCCTGAAGGCTGAAGGCCCACCCTCAAATGGTGGGGCGGACAAGGCGGGGGATGAGCGGAGAGAGCAAACAATAGGGGTAGGAGGTTGGTAGGGGGTTAGGTCACAGAGGTAGGAAAGAGCAAGGCCGTAGAGGGCTTTGAGAGTGAGGACTAGGATCTTGAACTGTATCCTCTGTATGATGGGAAGCCAGTGGAGTTGGGCGAGGGTGGGGGTTGATAGGGTCATGGAGCCTGGTGTGGGAAAGGACTTGGGCTGCAGAGTTCTGGATGATCTGCAGCCTGTGGAGGGAGGAGGTGGGGAGGCCGACAAGCAGATCGTTGGCGTAGTTGAGCCTAGACATGATAAACGGGTGGATGTGGGCCTCGGCGCCCTACGGTGTGAGACAGTGGCAGAGATGGGCAATGTTGCGGAGGTGGGGGAAGGAGGAGTGGGTCATGGCACGGATGTGGGGGATGAAGTACAGTTGAGGGTCAAACAGGACCCTGAGGTTCCATATTCGCTCTATGAGGTGTAGTTGCAACCATGAAGGGTGATGCTGTCAGCCCCTGAGATGTGGAGGCGCTGACAGGAGCGAAGCAGGAGGGCCTCGATCTTGTTGTCATTCAACTAGAGGAAGTTGGCACTCATCCAGGACTTGATGTTGGACAGGCAGTCTGTGAAGACAACAGTGGTCCTGGAGTCGAGGGTTGAGGTGGCGAGGTAGAGTTGGGTATCATCCGCATACGTGTGGAAGTTGACCCCATGTCTGCGGATGATGTCACCAAGAGGGAGTCTGTAAAATGCTGTGCCCAATTTGGCTGCTTTTCACCCACAAAATATACAGTCAATTCACTCTACAGTATATTCTGCAAAGTGCTTTGAGACGTCTCAATGACATAATAAAAGCTATATCAAATGCAAGGTTAATTATAACTGAGCCAGGTGGGCACCAACTTCAGCCACAGATTTACAATGGAGTAGGGTACAGCGGGTTAAGTTCAAGTCGAGCTTGGCAGAGGGGCAAAGGGAGTGTGGGATTAAGGTCTATGATGTTAAAGCTTTCTGTTCATTGTGAGAGAGGAAGGGGTGGGAAGTGCAGTGGTGCTGCAAGCAAATAGAAGAGTTAACACAATTCGTAAAACAATTACTCCAAATTTTGTGCAGTTCAACCACAAAATATCCAGTTGATTCTGTGAAGCGCTTTGAGATGTTTGAAGACACATAAGGCGCTATATCAAATGCAAGGATTATTATTATAACTCGTTACTACTGACGTCAGTAAACTTACCTGTGGATCCCAGAGTTATAATAATAATAAATAATCCTTGCATTTTATGTAGTTCTTTTCACATCTTCGAGATATCTCAAAGCGCTTGACAGAATATACTGTAAAGTGAATTGACTATATTTTTTTTTGTAGCAAAATGTAGGCAGCGAATTGCGCACAGCAGTGTCCCACAAATTTTTTGAAGTGACCAATTTTTTTTTGTAAAGTGAATTGACTGTATATTTTTTGTAGGCAAAATGTAGGCAGCAAATTGCGCACAGCAGTGTCCCACAAATTTTTTGAAGTGACCAATTTTTTTTTGTTGAGGGATTATTATCAGGCGTGTAGAATAGGGAAACTTGCCCAAGGTTTCACCCTGCCGGGAATCGAACCCAGGTCTCTCGCTTGCTCTTAACCACTGAGTTAACAGGACTCCATAAACATGACACCGCATCACACCCCCCACTCGCCCCCTCATCCCAGACATTTACCTTGTCTATCTTCTTACTACAGCCTTTGCACGTGCTGCGGTTGGACTTGGCGTATTCCACCGAAAAGTCGCTCAGTGTCTGGCCTTTCCCATCTCCACCCTGCGCTCCACCTTTCCCTGTCAGATGAGCCAGCAGGTAACTCATTCAGTCACAAAACAAGTACAGATGCACATTGGCAAAATGTTCTTCTAAGGCATTCATAACATGGCAGATTAAATGGAAGCAGTGAGGGAGGGAGTGGGGGGAGGGAGGGGCAGAGGGAACACACAGACACGAAGGTTGTAGTAATGTCAATGGCATTATTAGGTATACAACATGCATGCACAACAGCAATTTGACATTGGGTATTTTTTGCTGCTGGAAATTGAGACAAAGCAAGACCCGGGGGGGGGGGGGGGGGAGGGGGAGGGAATTGGGAAGGCATATTAATGGACACCTAGAAGTGTTTCTTTACATGGAAGGGTAATCAAGTTTGGATGGGTTAGAACTTTGACAAACTGTGAGGATAACTGGCAACAGGTTGGTCATATCAACCTGTCCACTCCTTCCACTCAGCAGGCTCCGGCCTGCTCCACATCCCCCACCCACCCCCCCGCCCTCAGCGCTCGGGCCTTCAGCCTCTTTGCCCCCACTCTCTGGAACTCTTTGCTCCCTCCCTTGCCTCGTCTCAAGGCCCTCCTTTTTGACTGCGCCTTCAGCATTCGGCCACCCTCTACCCTTACCCTCCCTGCCGCCCACCCCACCTGGTCCCAACCCCCTGCTTGGTTCCAAATCCCTGACTATCCAGTGCTTTAGGACATCCTCCCAACGTAAAAGGCGCTGTGTAAATGTCATTTTGTATTGTATTATTATTATCTGAGACCAAGAAATCATTATGACTGGGTTATTTATCCGACTTATAGATTAAACTGTTGCAAAGAAATCAAAGTGTTTTTAGTAGCAAAATGAATGGGCCTTAGGTACATGAAATGTCTTAAGAAGCTTATGACGTATAACAAGATGACTTACTTATGCAAATATATACGTGTACCTTCTAAAACAATAATTACAAAATGAAGTTGTGTTTTATGTACACAAGCAAACAACTGAATACCTCCTGGAGCTCCTCCAGTTTCAATGGACTTCCTAATCTTCTCCTGGTCCTCCCATCGCAGGTCAGTCAGCCCATCAATGTCTCCCTGCACCACTACCCGGGCCTTCTTCCAGAAACAAGCGTAATGGTGCCAATGGGGGATCTTCCCGTCAAACATCGGTGACTGCAACCAACAAAACCTTCTGTGAAATGGGCTCAGTTGCCAGAGATGAATACATTCATTGATTGAACAAAGTTCCTCCCCACCTCTTCTCGCCCAGATAGGAACAGCAGCAGCATAGATTAACTTTAACCTCTCTCCAGATGTAAGATGCACAAATAATAATAGCTTCTCCCCAGATGTGACACACATCAACCTGTAGCTCAATGGTTAGAGTACTCGACTCGCAAGCGAGCTAGGTTCGATTCCAGGGCAGGGTGAAACATTGGGCAAGTTTCCTTACTCCACACACTCCTGTTTACCTAGTAGTCAGTAGGAACCCGGTTGTTAGTCGATTGTCGGATCACTTTTCCGGGGATCCCTTCAAAAAATTCTAAAATTAACATGGTCACTTAATCCATGACTGTTTGTGGGACGCTGCTGCGCGCAACTGGCTGCCGAGTTTCACCCACAAAATATACGGTCAATTCACTTTACAGTATATTCTGTGAAGTCAATTATTGTGATAAGGCACTATATCAAATGCAAGGATTATATATATTATATATTGTAACATACTGGGGGGGGTTAGATAGATGCCTTCAGCATATACTGTTAGGTGAATTGACTGTATATTTTGGTGGCAAAACTAGGCAGACAACATTCTGATTTTTTTCCCCCCCAAAAAATGAATGAATGAATTTGGGGATGGATGGATTGTGCAATCTGTGCCTGACTGGTGGTTGGGGTGTGAGGGTTTGTGCTGCTCAGCAATAACAACTAAACAAGAAGACAACGTGCTGCCCGGGGGTGGGGCACATCTCCTTCTCTCTCCAGCAAAATATCTATGATTAAAGCTACTCAGAGCAGCCTGTCTCCAGGCCTCACACATACAGGGAGACACACACACACAGACAGACAGAGAGAGACTCACACACACAGACAGGGAGAGACACACACACAGACAGGGAGAGACACACACACACACACACACAGACAGACAGAGAGAGACTCACACACACAGACAGGGAGAGACACACACACACACACACAGACAGGGAGAGACACACACACACACAGACAGACAGAGAGAGACTCATACACACAGACAGGGAGAGACACACACACACAGACAGGGAGAGAGAGACACACACACACAGACAGGGAGAGAGAGACACACACACACACAGACAGGGAGAGACACACACACAGACAGGGAGACACACACACACACAGACAGACACACAGGGAAAGAGACACATACACACACAAGACAGGCAAACAGGGAGAGAGAGAGATAGACACACACACACAGACAGACAGACAGACAGACAGACACACACACAGACAGACACACACACACACAGACAGGCACACAGGGAGAGAGAGAGAGAGAGAGACACACACACACAGGCACACAGGGAGAGAGACACACACACACAGACAGACTGTGTCTCTGTGTGTGTGTGTCTGTGTGCGTGTCTGTCTGTGTGTGTGTGTCTCTGTGTCCATGTGCGTGTCTCTGTGTCTGTGTGTCTCTCTGTCTGTGTGTGTGTCTGTGTCTCTGCGTTTGTGTGTGTCAGTGTGTGTGTGTGTCTGTCTGTGTGTGTATGTGTGTCTGTGTCTCTGTTTGTGTGTGTGTCTGTGTCTCTGTTTGTGTGTGTGTGTCTGTGTGTGTATGTGTGTCTGTGTGTGTATGTGTGTCTGTGTGTGTATGTGTTTGTGTGTCTGTGTGTGTCTCTGTGTCTGTGTCTCTGTGTCTGTGGTGTGTGTCTGTGTGTCTATCTGTGTGTGTCTGTGTGTGTCTGTGTGTGTCTGTGTGTGTCTGTGTCTCTGTTTGTGTGTGTGTGTGTGTGTGTATATGTGTTTGTGTGTCTCTCTGTGTCTGTGTGTGTGTATCTGTGTGTGTGTCTGGCTGTGTGCGTCTGTGTGTGTGTGTCTCTTGTGTCTGTGGTGTGTGTCTGTGTGTGTGTGTGTCTCTGTGTCTGTGGTGTGTCTATGTGTCTGTGTCTCTGTGTGTGTGTGTGTGTATCTGTGTGTGTGTGTGTGTGTGTCTGTGTGTCTGTGTGTGTCTGTGTCTGTGAGGGTGTGTGTGTCAAGTGTGTGTGTGTGTGTGTGTCTGTGTGTGTGTCTGTGGATATGTATATCTGTGTGTGAGGGTGTGTGTCTGTGTGTGGGTGTGTGTGTGAGGGTGTGTGTGTCTGTGTGTCGGTGTGTCTGTGTGTGGGTGTGTCTGTGTGAGGGTGTGTCTGTGTGAGGGTGTGTCTGTGTGAGGGTGTGTGTCTGTGTGGGTGTGTGTGTGAGGGTGTGTGTCTATGTGGGGGTGTGTGTGAGGGTGTGGGTCTATGTGGGGGTGTGTGGGGGGGTGTGTCTGTGGGTGTGTGTGAGGGTGTGTGTGAGGGTGTGTGTGAGGGTGTGTGTCTGTGTGTGAGGGTGTGTGGGAGGGTGAGGGTGTGTGTGAGGGTGTGTGAGGGTGTGTGTCTGCGTGGGTGTGTGGGAGGGTGAGAGTGAGGGTGTGTGTGAGGATGTGTGTGAGGGTGAGTGAGGGTCTGTGTGAGGGTGTGTAGGAGGGTGAGGGTGTGTGTGAGGGTGTGTGTGAGGGTGTGTGTGAGGGTGAGGGTCTGTGTGAGGGTCTGTGTGAGGGTCTGTGTGGGAGGGTGAGGCTGTGTGTGAGGGTGTGTGTGAGGGTGTGTGGGAGGGTGAGGCTGTGTGTGAGGGTGTGTGAGGGTGAGGGTGTGTGTGTCTGTGTGAGGGTCTGTGAGTGTGTCTGTGTGAGGGTCTGTGTGAGGGTCTGTGTCTGTGTGAGGGTGTGTGTGAGGGTGAGGGTGTGTGTGTCTGTGTGAGGGTGTGTGTGAGGGTGTGTGGGAGGGTGAGGGTGTGTGTGAGGGTGTGTGTGAGGGTGTGTGTGAGGGTGTGTGGGAGGGTGAGGGTGTGTGAGGGTGTGTGTGAGGGTGTGTGTGAGGGTGTGTGTGAGGGTGTGTGTGAGGGTGTGTGTGAGGGAGGGTGAGGGTGTGTGTGAGGGTGTGTGGGAGGGTGAGGGTGTGTGTGAGGGTGTGTGGGAGGGTGTGTGTGAGGGTGTGTGGGAGGGGGAGGGTGTGTGGGAGGGTGAGGGTGTGTGAGGGTGTGTGTGAGGGTGTGTGTGAGGGTGTGTGGGAGGGTGTGTGGGAGGGTGAGGGTGTGTGTGAGGGTGTGTGTGAGGGTGTGTGTGAGGGTGAGGGTGTGTGTGAGGGTGAGGGTGTGTGTGTCTGTGTGAGGGTGTGTGTGAGGGTGTGTGTGAGGGTGAAGGTGTGTGTGAGGGTGTGTGTGAGGGTGTGTGTCTGTGTGAGGGTGTGTGTGAGGGTGTGTGTGAGGGTGAGGGTGTGTGTCTGTGTGAGGGTGTGTGTCTGTGTGAGGGTGTGTGTGAGGGTGTGTGTCTGTGTGAGGGTGTGTGTGAGGGTCTGTGTGAGGGTGTGTGTGAGGGTGTGTGTGAGGGTGTGTGTGAGGGTGAGGGTGTGTGTGAGGGTGTGTGGGAGGGTGAGGGTGTGTGTGAGGGTGTGTGTGAGGGTGAGGGTGTGTGTGAGGGTGTGTGTCTGTGTGAGGGTGTGTGTGAGGGTGTGTGTGAGGGTGTGTGTGAGGGTGTGTGTGAGGGTGAGGGTGTGTGTGAGGGTGTGTGTGAGGGTGTGTGTGAGGGTATGTGGGAGGGTGAAGGTGTGTGTGAGGGTATGTGTCTGTGTGAGGGTGTGTGTGAGGGTGTGTGTGAGGGTGTGTGTGAGGGTGTGTGTGAGGGTGAAGGTGTGTGTGAGGGTGTGTGTGAGGGTGTGTGTCTGTGTGAGGGTGTGTGTCTGTGTGAGGGTGTGTGTGAGGGTGTGTGGCGGTGACCCACCTGCACCATGATTGCGAGCCTCAGAGCCTCTTTGCTGATGTTCTCCCCACATTTCTTACACGAGGCCCGACCGCTCTTGGCGTACTCCGCCTTATACAGCTTCTCCTCAGCCATCGCGCCCGTCTGTGAGCGTCAGCCTCCGGGGGGGCGGGGACAGGCCGGGGGGGGGGGGGGGGGGCGGGGACAGGCCGGGGGGGGGGGGGGCGGGGACAGGCCGGGGGGGGGGGGGGGGGGGGGACAGGCCGGGGGGGGCGGGGACAGGCCGGGGGGGGGGGGACAGGCCCGGGGGGAGGGGACAGGCCCGGGGGAGGGGACAGGCCGGGGTCACGGGGCGGGGACAGGCCCGGGGGGAGGGACAGGCCGGGGTCACGGGGCGGGACAGGCCGGGGGGGGGCGGGGACAGGCCGGGGTCACGGGGGGGAGAGGGAGGGAGTGAGAGAGGAAATAGAGAGAGAGAATGGGACAGAGAGGGAGGGGAGGAGAGAGGAAATAGAGAGAGAGTGGGACTGAGAGAGAGAGGGGAGAGAGGAAATAGAGAGAGAGTGGGACTGAGAGAGAGAGGGGAGAGAGGAAATAGAGAGAGAGAGAGGGAGGGAGAGAGGAAGGGGAGGAGAGAGGAAATAGAGAGACTGTGACAGAGTGTGTGGGGGAGGGGGCGAGAGAGGAAAGGGGGAGAGAGTGGGGGTGAGAGAGCGAAAGGAAATCGAGAGAGAGGAGGGGGTTGAGAGAGAGAGGAATAATAATATTTCTTGCCTTTTGATACAGCACCTTATCACGTCTCTGAGACGTCTCAAAGCGCTTCACACAATACACTGTACAAAAGCGCTGTACAAATGTAATGTTGTAGTGACTGGATATTTTGTGGGTAAAATGTGGCAGCCAATTGCACACAGCAGCGTCCCGCAAACAGTCATGGGTTGAGTGACCAAATTATTATTTANTTTTTGATTTTGATGAGATTATTACCACACATCTGTGCCATGATTCTCTCTGCCTTCTCCCACCTCTGCAACATCGCCCGGCTCTGCCACTGTCACTCCGCCGGCCTCCAAACCCTCATGTGCTTTCATTACATTGAGGCTTGACTATTCAAACTCCCTGCTTGTCGGCCTCTCCAGCTCCTCCCTCCCCCCGGCCACCGATCATACAGAACTCTGCAGCCCGTGTCCTCTCCCGCACCAGGTTCCGTGACCCTATCACCCACATCCTCACCCGACTCCACTGGCTCCTCACACAGATCCTGGTCCTCATCTTCAAAGCCCTCCATGGCCTTGCTCCCTCCTACCTCTGCGATCTCCTAACCCCCTACCATCCTGCTCATTCCCTCCGCTCAGCAGCCTCCGGCCTGCTTCACATCCTCCGCCTCACCCGCCCTATCATTGGCGGGCGGGCCTTCTGCCACTCTGCCCCCCACCCTCTGGAACTCTATCCCGCAGTCCCTGTGCCTTGACCCATCCCAAGATTCTCTTCTTCGACCATGCTTTGATCACTCCGCTTCCCCCCCTCCACCTGCTCTTCACCCTCCCCAATCCCAACCCCCAGCTCAGGTATTAAACACTGACTGTCCAGTGCTTTGGGAAGTCCTCCCGATATGAAAAGCGCTGCACAAATGTAATGTTGTTGTTGCTGCTGATGATGTTAAATGCTCCAACTAATACCCTACAGGACTCCACATATAAAATGCTAAATGGGATTGAGAAGGTAAACTTACAGAACAATAACCTCAGGTAGACCAAAGCTGCAGGACAAGAGAGCACAAGTTTAGGATGTGGGAAAAGGCAATGATCTTTGCACAGAAGGTGAGGAATATCTGGAGCAGGACATCAGGAAAGGTGGTTGGGGCAATGATACTGGGAATCATTTAAGGAACAATCTGATGCAGTAATGGGAACAATAATGGTCATGGTACCATAGAACCAGAGAAATGTATGGCACTTAAGAAAGCTATATCAAATGCAAGGATTATTATTATTATTATTATTATTATTATTTGGCCCATTGTGTCTTCCCTGGCTCCTTTGAGTGCAATTCTTTCAGTCCCATTTTCCTGTCCTTTCCCCATACCCTTATAGTTTACTCCTTTTTATGTATCACGTCAACAAAATAAACAATCAATTCACTTTACAGTATATTCTGTGAGGCGCTTTGAGACGTCTCCAAGATGTGAAAAGTGCTATATCAAATGCAAGGATTATTATTATTAAATTGGCGCCTTCTAGACCTCTAGAGTCCTATAATTTAGTGGTTACTTCTCACTTCACAAGTGAGGGGACCTGGGTTCGATTCCCAGGCAGGGTGGAATGTTGGGCAAGTTTCCTTACTCCACACGTCTCTGTTTACCTATCAGTAAGTAGGAACCCGGTTATTAGTCGATTGGTGGATCGCGTTTCCAGGGGTAATAATTCCTTCCAAAAAAAAGAATAAATTGGTCACCTCAATCCATGACTGTTTGTGGGACACTGCTGTGTGCAATTGGCTGCCATGTTTTGCCCACAAAATATACAATCAATTCACTTTACAGTATATTCTGTGAAGTGCTTTGAGACGATTTGAAGATGTGCTAAACCACTATATCAAATGCAAGGATTATTTTTATTACTCTAGTAGAAAAGGCATTGTGGAAAAATGAGATTAAACAGTTTGATGCTGAGATGGAAGAATGGCAAGATGAGTGTTCTGATGTGACAAAGGGCTTTCTTCATCCAAGATTTTGTGAAATGAGCCGAAGGGTTTCTTCATCCGAATCTGGGAAGACACCATCAGTGAGAGAATATTCTGAACTTGTGGAGTCTAACACATGATATTCTGTGTTTGTAATGGGATTCCCCGATTGGATGTTATGTCGAGGAGTTCACTAGCAAAAGACCAAGCAAATTGCACTGAGGATCCTGCAAGCTTCTTGCTAGCCAGCAGGTGATGATATTGAACAGGCTCCAATCTACTGTACTGCCTGTTAGCCTGTATGTAAAAAGTGTTCAGAAGTGTGGTCAGGTAGGACCAAAGTGACAATTGTTGCTTGAGATCACAATAGAGGCTTGGATTAAGAATATATTTTGGCACGTTTTATCTCATCCTTCCAGAAAATCCATTCTGCTGCCTTCCCATTACAGAGTGAGTGACACGTAGTAATAATAATAATCCTTGCATTTGATATAGTCTTGTCTTGTCTTTGAGATGTCTCAAAGCTCTTCACAGAATATACTGTTAAGTGACTGTGTATTTTGTGGGTGAAATCCGGAAGCCAATTGTGTACAGCAGTGTCCCACAAACAGTCATGGAATGAGTGACCAAATTATTATTTTTTTTGAAGGGATTATTATCCAGGAAAGCGATCCACCAATCGACTAACAACTGGATTCCTACTTTACTGCTGGGTAAACAGAGGCGTGCGGAGTAAGGAAACCTGCCTAAGGTTTCGCCCCTTGTATTCGTAATAATCTTGAATTGGTAAAGTGGCTTTCACATCAGGCTCATCTGTCTTAAAGGGGCATTTGACTATGTTTTCCCTAACCCCTCCCCGCACAAGAATATTTTCACTTGTCAAGTTGAAACGTTTGTTGGCAGAACAGCACTTGTAAATATCACAAGTGCTTTTTTTGGTCAGCCGGGTATCTGACACATAGGAACGTAGGAACAGGACTAGGTAATTCAGCCCTTCGAGCCTGTTCTGCCATTTAATTAGATCATGGCTGATCTGTACCTCAACTAATCCTTTCAATTCCAATTTCCCGCTTTCTCCCCATATCAAACATCTCCCCATATCAAAACCTACCAAACATCTGTTACCCTCACTCTTGAAGGTGTGGATGAATCCAGCATCCATGACCTTTTGGGGCAGAGAATTCCAGATTTCTATCACCTTTTGAGTGAAAAAATGCTTCCTGATTTCACTCTTAAATGGCCTGGTTCTAATTTTAAGATTATGCCCCTTGTTTTGGACTCCCCCACCAGAGGAAATAGCTTCTCTGTATCTACCCTATCAAATCCCTTTATCATCTTAAATACCTCAATCAAATCACCCCTCAACCTTCTAAACTCAAGGGAATACAATCCAAGTTTACGCAGACTTTCCTTGTAACTTAATCCTTAGGCCTGGTAACATTCTGGTGAATCTGCGCTGCACTTCCTTCAGGGCTAATATATCTTTCGTGAGGTGTGGTGCCCAAAACTGAACGCAGTCTCCAGATGGGGTCTGACTAACGCTCTATAGAGCTGAAGCATCATTTCTTTGTATTGCAGGCCCCTTGTATGCCAAGCCAACATTCCATTCACCATTTTGATTATTTTTTGCATTTGGGAACTAGTTTTTAGTGATTTGTGGATATGGATACCCAAAAGCTTTTGCTATTGGTTTTAGCAACTCTTGCAAGTTTTTTTCATACTCCTTTTTGCTCCTCATATTACTTTCTTTGTATCCCTTTATTGCCTTTTGTAGTTCTCCGAGTCCTCAGCATTCCCACTTATTCTTGCATTTGAGAAAGCCTTTCCTTTTAGCTCAATACAGTATCTAATCTCTTTTGTCCGTCATGGTTGCTTAACTACACAATTGGGCTTTTGCATTTTAGGGGTATGTACTTGTTCTGTATTGTATCAAATACTTTTTTGAATACTTCCTATTGTTCGTCTGCAGGTTTACCCACGAACAGTTCAGCCCAGTTTACTGTGGTCAGTATATTTCTCATTCCATCGAAGTTTGTCTTACTTAAATGTAAAACCTTGGTTTGGGACTCTCCCTTCTCCCTCTCAAATCTAATGTCAAATTCAATCATATTCTGATCACTATTTGCAAGATGTTCCCTTACTGTCAGATTGTTAACTAGTTCTGGCTCATTACTCATCACCAAATCCAGTTTGGCTTGTTCACTTGTTGGTTCTGAAACATATTGTTCCAAAAAACTGTCCTGAATACACTCTAGAAATTCATTGCCTTTACTGTCTGAGGTGTCCTGTTTCTCCCAATCTATGTGAAAATAAAAATCTCCCATTATAACCACATTGCTTTTGCTACACGCTTCCCCGATCTCCGCTATTTATACATCACAACTCTCTGGAGGTCTGTAGACTACTCCCAACAGAGTCTTACCTCCTTTGCTGTTACTTAATTCTACCCACAGTGTTTCCACTACCTGATCACCCTTAC